TCCACATGATTTCGTCTGAATCGCATGCGCAATAGTGCTTGTAGAGCCAGTGGAGGTGAGATGCAGACGCACGGATTCCACTGCACGTGGCTGCACGAGTGCTGGCATACCCGCTGGCAGCACGAGCTTCTGCTTACGATGAACACGGGCATCATTGCACGGTGCGCCGCGTGCGCGTTCCGTCGAAGCGGCATCCGCGGCGACAGCGTAAGTGGAAAGCGAAATGGCCGAGAGCAGGAGCGGAACAAGACACTACCCCCCACCCTCCCGGTCCTATCAACCCCTCAGAGCCCCGACCTCCTCAGAAACTAATCTCATCATCCACCGTCGCTCGCTCGTCGCCCCTTGGCCTCATTGGCGCGTCATCTCACGACGATCCCTTGTACAAGCACACACATGTGTTCCCTATCTGGATTCGCGCGGTGTCTAACCCCCAGAGATGTAGGCGAGTAAAACCAATTACGAGCACGATCTGCAAATTCACCATCACGTCACAAGGACAGGCCATACTTCTCGGAACTACATGCCCTGATGTCGCTCGTCTGGGGCGTACCTGAAAATTAGCACGAGCATTCAAACACATAGGACTTTCTCCAGATTTCCAGGATGCTTCGGTTCACTGAAACATTCGCAGCGGATCGTCATCGCCTTCTTGTCGAGTGACAAGAGCGGACGGGTTGACAGGAGGCGCCCTGCGTGGGATGGCTCCGACGAGACCCGGAACGCCTCCCGCGGGGCACGGATAACCATAGGCACTGGCGTCGCGCTGGTCCCCCGGCTTGCGCGGAACATCGGCGGTGAAACATGACGGCGGTCGCAGCCTTGCGCCTTGCGCCCACTTCCAGAGCCCCCTCGACGAGAGCAGCCGGCGCGCACGAGAACTCAGGGTGAGCTGGACACCGTGGCGCCCTCCGGAGCATAGCCGCGCGTGGGCCAGGCTGCGACGGCTCGCACGCACGAGAAGGCCTCACAGGGAAGGGCAAGCCCGAGAGGGCACCAGGACAACTGCTCTGTCGCGTGATGGGCAAATTGTTCACCGCGACTACCATATGTGGGACGGGGGAGAAGGGAGGTTGAGGAGGGTCCTCCTCCTCCTCCCTCCTCCTCCTCCTCCTCCTCCTCCTCCCTCCTCCTCCTCCTCCTCCTCCTCCTCCTCCTCCTCCTCCTCCTCCTCCTCCTCTCCTCCTCTCCTCCTCCTCTTCCCCCTCCTCCCTCCTCCTTCTTCTCCTCCTGCCTCCTCCTCCTCCTCCTCCTCCTCCTCCTCCTACACAGGGTGGCGGTGGTGGCAAAAGGGGCCCCCCCTGCCGTGCAGGCGCGGCGCGCCCCCCCCCCTCTCCAGGGGAGAGGCCCGGCTCGCGCGGGGAGACGAGCCAGAGGGCGCTGGCAGGCCCGTGCCCTCCGCTCGGCGGCCTGGCCCCCAGGGACCCGAGCACATCGATTTGGTTCTTGGATCACACTTGTGGGTTCTGAGCACTTCTCGTGGTAGGACTAACTATGGGAATGCCGGGGCGGTCGGCCCCGGCTCGACCAGCTTTCGCCCGGCACGAGTCCGCCCTCCTCGACGTCGACCCCGCCTCTCTGCGGCCCTCGGCGGGGCGCGCGCCCTCGGCGGGCGCGGCCCGCCCGTGGCCGCCGCGCTCTCGGAGACCCCGGGGGGGGGGGGGGTCCCCGCACCTCCTGGCATGGCGCGGGCCCAGAGAGCCAGCGCATGGAGACACTCAAGACGGAGTTTTTTTTTCACAATTTTTTTTTCACAAAGAGCCAGACGGAGTTCTTTTTCGCAAATTCCGGCCCCCAGGGGGCCCTCGCCGGGCATCGGGGCCGTCAGGAAACGACACCGGATGAAAAACCGGTCCTGGGGAATGGGCCGAGACTTTCGGGGACCGCGCATTGAACAAATCACGACATCGGATCTCTGGGGAGCAGGGCGGGAAGGCAGCGACAGTCGAGCCCGGGACAGAGCGCGCGGGGCCCTCCGCCGGCCAAGGACGCGCGCACTGCGTCCGGGGGGCACCTCCCTCCCCAGGGTGCACAGGACGCTCCCGCGGGCACGAAGGAACGCGAGGGCACCCTCCCCGAGGCGGCCTCGATCCACACCTCGGTCCGACGGCGAGGGCGAGCGGGGCCCAGACCCCCGACGCATAGTAACGACTTGCTCCTTGCGTCGTCCCCCAGAGGCCCCGACCCTTTCCCCAATGACCGGCTCTGCATCCTGGGTCGTTTTTGGGGACGCTCCCGAGGCCCGGTGAGGGCCAGAGGCCGAAAATTAAGAGAAACCTCCCGTCCTGATGATGTCACTACTCGAGGGGGTCTGGGGAGGACGGTGCACCAAGGCGGGCAGGCACGACGGCTCCCCACCGCGCGCAGAAGCCCAGCTCTGCGCGGCAGCCTCTCGCCTCGGCCAGCCGTTGGCCCCTCCCGCGGTCGCGCCTCGTCCCTGGCCAGGGGGCCCCCGCGCCCGCTCGGAGGGGGGCAGGCAGCGCGCGGAGGGAGGGCTTCTGCGGAGGCGGCGGGGCCTTCTGTGAGGAGGCAGGGGGGAGCCCAGCCAGCCTCTCGGAGGCCTCCCATGCCTTTCAGGACGGCCCTTGCCTCCTAAGAAGCCCCGCAGCCCCCTCAGAGGCCCAGCCACCCCATCGCGCCAGGCCCCCTGGGTCCTCTTGGGGCGGAGGGGCCTCGACGTGTCAGCTCAAGGTCCCCCTCCCGGGCCCCTCCTGGGCCCTCTTGGGGCCGTCTTGGGGGGGGGGCCTCTCGGCCCTCTTGGTGCCTTCTTGGGGGCTCCTTTCCTGGGGGGGTCCTCTTGGGGGCCTCCTGGAGGCCTCGTGGGCCCCGCTTGCGCTCTCCACCCCGCCCCCCGGGGGCCGGCTGCTCGCTGCGCAGCTCTTCTCGGCGCGCCCGGTGCCCGACGCGGGCAGCCCAGGGGCCCGCGCCCTCGAGGCGCCGCCCGCCGTGCCCCTTCCTGCCGCAGCGCCCAGCGGCCCCAGGGCCGGCACGGCCTGCGAGGCGGTGTTGCCCAGACGTGCTCGCGCAGCGGAAAAACCAGGAGGAGGAGGAGGAAGAGGAGGAAGAGGAGGAGGAGGAGGAGGAGGAGGAGGAGGCGGGGCGGGGAATTATTTTTGGCCTTTCTCGGCCTCTGGGGGCCCTGACCAGGCCCCGGGACCGTCAAAAGACGACTCGGGACGAAGAGCCGATTCCGTGGAAGGGGTCGGGACTTCTGGGGGCTCCGCATTGAGAAACGCAAGACGTCGCTCGTCTGGGCTCATGTCGGGCCCCCGAGACCGTGTGGTGACGGATCGCGTGGTGGGCTCGGAACCCCCCACGACCTCACCGCGCGGTCCGTCACCACACGGCTTCAGGGTCCTGGAGGCCCCAGTCCTCCGAGACATCCTCGGAGAACGACCCCAGCCCCGAAACTCCCACCGACTCGTCGCCACACGGTGTGGCCACAGCACCATTTGGGAGCCCCCGGTCCACATCCACCGCCTGTGTTCCCACTGACTCATCGCCACACGGTGTGGCCACCGCGCCAACTTGGGAGCCCCCGAGATCCACAGTCACCGCCTGTATGGGACCGACGTCCTGGAGCCCCGGCGAGCGGTGGCCACCCCGGGCCTGGAGCTGTCCACAGCGACCGCCTGCCGAGGTCCCCAGAGATGCAGTGGGGGCCCATGCCAGGAGACACCCTGCTTGCCTCCAGGGTGCCCTGGGTTTATTGGGCTTCGATGGTTTTGCTGTGGAAGGCGTGGCTTTCCCACGCCAAGAGTCCGTGGACATCCTGGGGTCTCGGGGTTGGGTTCCTTGTGGAAGGTTTCTTGTGCTCGGGCCCATACTGTAAGTTCCCGTCCAGTCGACCCCGTGAAAAGGACAATTACCCGCCAGCGGGAAGAAGCGCGTGGAAACATGAAGTAGGAAGGCGGACAAAGCAGAGTGGGCTCGGGCCCGCCCAGAGAATCACAAAACACAGCAGGACCCCGTCAATTCTTGGAGTGGGAGGGCGCTTGAAGCAGATTGGGATCTGGGAGTCCAGGAATACCTAGTTTCAACGACCGGCGCGCGTCGTGTTGTGAGGGAAGGGTTGTGAAGATACAGGGCACGAACATGTCATAGAAACACCTTCAACATGCGCGAGACCACCCCCCTCCTCCCAACTTGAGCAGGGACCGACCGTCCTGGCATTCCTGCAGGCCTACCACGACATGTTCTCAGAACCCACAAACGCTCGAATAACAAAACCAATGTCCTTAGAACATAGACCCGACGCGTCAAAACAAATCTGACTCAGCCAGAAAACTTCAAAGAACATGTCGTGCAGACCACAAGAGGCTCTTGGAACATTCTGCGGTGGGCCTATAGGCGAGCCGGGACGCCTCGCCACTGCTTGGCATCCTTAGGGGAACAAAAAGGGACATAAACATAAAAACTCGGAGGTCCGCGCGGATTTCTCGGATCGGCGCTGGACCCCCCTCCCTGGCGCGCGGAGCGCGCCAGGGGCGGCGCCGGAGGCGCCGCCAGGGGGCCCCAGCGCCGATCCGAGGGAATCCGCGCGGACCTCCGAGTATCTATGTTTTATGCCACTTCTCGTTCCCCGAATCCTCCCAGCCCGTCTTTCTGGCCCCCCGGGCCCGGCCCTGCACGCGCTCCGACCCGCAGCTCCCCGGGGCGAGCCCGGCCGTGGTCCCCCCGCCCTCCCCCCCCCCCCGACTGCCTCCGAGGAGGCCCCCCCCCCCCCGCGAAGGTCGGAGGCCAGGCCGTGTTGGTGGAGCCTGCGCTCCGCCGCACGAGCCCTGGGCGCCGTCGTGCCTCACACCCACTCCTCCTCCTCCTCGTGTTCCTCCTCCTCCTCCTCCTCATCCTCCTCCTCCTCCTCCTCCTCCTCCTTCTCCCTCTTCCTCCAGGACCGTGGCGCAGAGAAGGGTATCCTGGAGGGTAAATTGACAGTCTGAAGGCATCCTGGAGGACAGCCAGTCGACCGAAAGAAGCAGGACCCTCCGAGCATAGCCCATGGAGTTCCAACCCACTGCCAACAGGCGTGGGGTTGGAAGTTCGAAGACAATGCTCGGGGGGTCTCTTTTCCTCCCACTATGCGCTCGCAGCACAGGGGATCCCCGCAGGAAGGGTCCCTGTAGCAAGGGTTCCATACGACTGTTTCCTTTCGCACGGACTGCTGAAGAATGATGCTTTCAGTCAGGGTTCCTGGTCAAGGGGTGCTTTACTAAGGAGTCCGCAGGGAGGGGGATATGGGATGGGGCCCTTGCTGGTCACTCACGCAGCCCACAGCACAGAGGGGGAAGTGCCAGGAGGAAATGGTTGCTTTCTCTCTCTCTCTCTCTCGTTCTTGTGTTCTCTCTTTCTCTCCCTCGCTCACAAGGCCTCCATTGGGGCCATTGCTGGAGACCCGTCATAAGAATGATGTGCCAAGGACCCTGGTAAACATCTCTTTTAGTGAGGTTCCATATTACGAACTGTTTCAGCATCCATGGGTACGGATGCCTGCATGCAGGAACCCTGAGCGAGGACTTTCGAATGAAGGATTATTAATCAATGCGCGTTCGGCATGTAGTCGCCAATAAGGATGCCCCCACCGAGGGAGCCTCAATAAGGATCCCTGGCAATACTGCAGTAACAATACATCTTCCCTCGGTGCGGATCCCTGTAGCAAGTTTTCATTGCTCATTCTGCCTTCTTCAATCTTAACTCGTAAGGATGCCTTTAGTCATGGGGTCCGCAGTAAGGATGGCTTCAAACAAAGGTTCCATGCTGAGGAGCCCTGTAGGAAGGAACCCGTAGAACGGAGGACACCAAGGGGGCACTGGTCGCTCGCTCACACAGCCCACAGCACAGAGGGGGGGAAGTGGCTGGAAGACATGGCGGGTCTCTCTCTCTCTTTCTCTTTCTCGCTCTCTTTCTCTTCCACCCCCCCCTCTCTCTGGCTCTCTGGCTCCTCCTCCTTTCATATTCACGCAAGGCCCAACCAATGAACCCCCATGGAACACCATTCGAACGCCTCCACTAGGGCAAGTGCTGGAAACCATTTGTAAGGATGCTTGTGGCAAAGGGGCCCTTTCTCGGCATGACCTGTTTAGCGAAGGGCCTTTAAACACAACCTCCTTTGGTAAACATCCGCTCGCAAGGATGCCAGCGTCACGGAATTCTGAGGAAGTATCCTTATAATGAGGATTCCTTAGCGGGGGTACTTGTGGCTCGCATTCCTCAGCAAAGATGCGTTGACCGTTGTTTCCTCAGCACGGATCCCCTCATGAGGAATCCCTGGTAAGACTGCCTGCAGTACTCATCGCCTTGATAAGGGTCCGAGTAGTAAGATTTCATTACGCTTGACCCATTAACTCAAGTTCTGTAGACAGAGAGTGCCTTCGATACGAATTCCATCCGTACGCATGCCTGCGGTACGAGTTCGTGGATACGCAAACAATCGTTAGTAAGGGTGCCTGGTTTTTATCAACGAATATGTCGTAAACGCCCCTGTGCCGTGGATCGCCGTACTGTGTAGGCATGTGTGGGTTCATCCGAGAAGAAGTCGTTACCACGGGACGCCCAGAATGAGGACCCAATTGGTATGATGCCTGTCGTCACGCTTAGGTGCCCATGTCTCTTTTCGAAAGGGTGTCATCGTCAAGATACATCTAATCAGGGGGCCATCGTCATGGTATATCTCGCAGAGTGCCCCTTAATGACGATGCCTGGTCTAAAAGTCCCCTCCTTCCTTCCGTAAGGATTCCCGAATGAGGATGCGGGGACGGAACAAGAGTGCAAGTAGCGATGGGGTCTTTACTACGGATGATATGAATGAGGCTTCGTTGAAGGAGGTGCCATGACTAAGAAGCTGCTCAGTTAGGGCCCCTGTAGTAAGGACTCCTTATTTTTGGACTTCCAACAGGAAGAGATCCTTCATGTCAGGGGTGCCTTCAGTAAGGATTCCTTCAGTGAGAGCCCTTCATCATGATACCTCAGGGGGGCGGAGAGAAAAAAGACACAGAAACTGGGGGATAGCCAGGTATAGTTTGCACTGCATCGTAGATGAATCAAGTAGGGCGTGCGCACTTGCGCGCAGTGGCTGGTGTTATGTAGCGGGGTCATGTGATTACGCAAAGTGGCACAGCACCAATACAGCTCGTCTGCATGATTGACAAGTGGAAACGTACAAGAAGGGAGGGGGAGGTGGTAGAAAAGGGGGAGGGAGGAGGGAGGTGGTAGAAGGAGGGGGGAAGGGGGAGTGGCAGAGCGAGGAGGGAGGAGGGAGGAAAACGAGGAGGGGGCTGTGGTAGAGGGATGGGGAGGTGGTAGAGGGAGGAGGAAAAAGGAGGAGGAGGAGGTGGTGTGTAACTTACGTGCGTGCGTTGGGTGTTGGGCTGTGGTACAAAAAAAAACCTGCCACTCCCCTATCCACATGTGTTTTCTGTGTTTTTGAATGTTTTGTTCTGCCCCCAAAAAAACCCACCGCACCCCCTCCGCACTGGGCTGGGACTGCGGGGGGACTCTACCGCATTCCAACCCTTCGGAAGGAGGGAGGGGGAGGGAGGAGGACGACGAGGGGGAGGTGGTAGGGAGGGGGGGGGAGGTGGCAGAGGAAGGCAGAGGAGGAAGGAGAGGAGGTGGTGGTGGTGTGTGCGTGTGCGACGTTGTGTGTGGGGTGTTGGGGGCAGACAAACTTGCTGGCCCCCCATTCACATGTGTTGCTACGTCGTCCCCCCCCCAAACACATCGCACCACCACCGCCACTGGACCGGGTCTGCGGGGGCACTCGACAGCAGTCTCCCCATTCGGACCCTCCCCCAGGCGCCACCACCGGCGGCAAGGGGGGCATCCATCCAGGGTCGCTCTCTCTCTCTCTCTCTCTTTCCCGCCCTTCCTCCCTCTCCTCCGTCCTCGGTCTCCCTCCTCTCTCGCTCACCTGCCCTCCTCTCTTTCTCTCTCTCTCTCTCTCTCTCTCTCCCTCTCTCTCTCCTTCCCTCTATCTATACAAATAGGTATCGCTCTCTCTCCCTCTCTCTCTATCTCTCCCTCCCCCTCTCCTCTCTCCTCTCTCCCTCTCTCCCTCTCTCACTCACTCAGGCTGCATGCTTCACAATGGCCCCTCCTCGAAAAACGCCTCCCACGAAGGCCAAAAGGGCCCCCACCATGACGGCCGAGGACGCCCCGACAGGGCCCCAGGCCGGCCCCGGGAGTGCCCAGAGCAGCCGAAGCCAGCGGCACTGAAGGTACCACTCCCCTCCCCCTCCGACGTCATGTTTTTGTTCGTGACGTGGGCCCCGGAGGAGGAGGAGGAGGAGGAGGAGGACGAGGAGGAGGAGGAGGAGGAGGAGGAGAGGAGGAGGAGGAGGAGGAGGAGGAGGAGGAGGAGGAGGAGGAGGGGGGGGAGGAGGAGGAGAGGAAGAGGAAGAGGAGGAGGAGGAGGAGGAGGAGGAGGATGAGGAGGAGGAGGAGGAGGAGGAGGAGGAGGAGAAGGAGGAGGAGGGGAGGAGGAGGAGGAGAGGGAGGAGGAGGAGGAGGAGAAGGAAGAGGAGGAGGAGGAGGAGGAGGAGGAGGAGGAGGAAGGAGGAGGAGGAGGAGGAGGAGGAGGAGGAGGAGAGGAGGAGGAGGAGGAGGAGGAGGAGGAGGAGGAGGAGGATTTAGATTCAGCCCACAGGATTTCACACGCGGCCCCGCCGCGGTGCCCCGCGCGCTCAGCCGGCGGGCGAGTCCGACCGACCGACACGGGGAAAAAGGGCCCCGCCCCACGGGCAGGCGGGAGGCCCCAACCGAAAGGATCCGACTCCACAAAGGGGGAGGCCGAACGGAAGGGCCACCCGCACGCCCAAGGGGCAGGGCGAAAACGGACCCGGACCCCGGGACCACGACGACGACGACGACGACGACGACGACGACGACGACGACGACGACGACGACGACGACGACGATGGCGACGACGAAAACGACGACGACGACGTCGACGACACGACATGACGGGGGGACGGACCGCCAGCCCCGCCCCAAGGCGGCGAACGCAGGGGGGGAACCCTGCGCCGCCCTGGGGGAGGTCCCGGGACCTGGCAGCCCCCCCTGGGAAGGGGACCCCGCTTATGGGGGCCGTCCCAGGGGAGCGGGGGCTTTTCGCCCCTCGGGCCCGGCGCTCCCCGCCTGCGCCAGGAGGACCCTGGGGTCCCGACCCCTCCCCTACGGGAGGGGCTCCCTCGGGGCGGAGGAGGAGGAGGAGGAGGAGGAGGAGGAGGAGGAGGAGGAGGAGGCGGAGGAGGAGGGGGGGAGGAGGAGGAGGAGGAGGAAGAGGAGGAGGAGGAGGAGGAGGAGGAGGAGGAGGAGGAGGAGGTGGAGGAGGATCAGGAGCAGGAGGAGGGAGGAGGAGGAGGAGGAGGAGGAGGAGGAGGAGGAGGAGGAGGAGGCGGAGGAGGAAGAGGAGGAGGAGGAGGAGGAGGAGGAGGAGGAGGGGGGGGACAGGGAGGGGGAGGAGGAGGAGGTCCTCGTCGTCGCCGCCGTCGTCGTCGCCATCGCCACCGCGACGTCAGCACAGCCGCTGCCGCCGTCGACGGCGCGGCCCCGCGGCAGAGGGCGCGCGCGGGCCGGCGGGGAGACGCCTGCTGGTGCGGCTCGTGGCGCTCCTCGGCGGGAGGGCGCTCTCGCGCCCGCGGCGCGCGGCGGGGGGCTGCCAGGCTCTTCCCAGCCATCCTGTGGTGCTGGGCCCTCGTTTTGAGGAGGAGGAGGAGGAAGGAGGAGGAGGAGGAGGAGGAGGAGGAGGAGGAGGAGGAGGAGGGGGAGGGGGGACAGCGCCCCGCGTCCTCCACCCGCCTCCCTCCTCCCGCCTCCTCCCCCCTCCCATCCCTGCCTCTGGCCTCCGCGCTCCGCATGACCTCATTGTCATCATCACCAGCAGCAGCAGCATCATCATCCTCCTCATCATCAGGATCATCACCACCGGCATCGCCGTCATCATCACCATCATCGTCATCACCATCGCCGTCATCACCGCACCAATTTCGGCACACCCCTCACACGTTTCGTGGCGCCATAAGGAGCTCCACCGAAGGCCCCAATGGCAGGGTTCGCATGGCACCGCCGCCTCCATTTCGGCACACCCGTCACACGTTTCGCGTGCCCATAGGGAGCTCCGCCGAAGGCCCCAGTGGTAGGGTTCGCATGGCACCGCCGCCTCCATTCCTGCACACCCATTACGCGTTTCGTGGCCCCATGAGGAGCTCCGCCAAATGCACCAGTGGCAGTGTTCGCATGGCACCGCCGCCTCTATTTCGGCACACCCCTCACACGTTTCGGGTGCCCATATGAAGCTCCACCGAGGGCGATACTCACAACGGGGGCACTCATTGCTGCATATGGTTGGGTCCTTCGGCAAGGCATTTGTTAAACAGTGGTGCTGCCAGGAATGACAGGGCAAGTAACAATGCATGGCTGCCTCACGGAAGCTTTTGGTCGTTCCCGTGGCGCCCACTAGCGCGTCCAAGAGCGCGCAAAGCGGACGTAACGCATCATCCTCATATTGCGGCACTACGGGGCGCCGTCTGGACGCTGGTGGGCGCTACATTGGTCAATTGGGCGCAATTGAGCGCTGCTGGATGCTATTCGACGTATGCAGTCAAGGCAAGACAAGCGGGAGCGTCCGTGACCTACTATCTAAGCATGGCTGCAAACCCATGTCAAAACGAACGAGATCGCCACGAGCCGCACTGCAGGGAGGGTAGGGGGTTGATGTGGCCGAAGTTGACCCCAACTTTCTCAGGGATAAGGACCAATATTGACACATCGGCGGATGTTGTACCTGGTGTTGCGAGACGCACCGAAGATGCAAACATCAGCAAATCCTGCATCACGCTTGCTGCCGCGCGCCTCTCCGCGTGGCCATGCTGGCCCTAGGTGCTCACAGGCCCCTACACCAGCGACGACACAGTTGCCCCCGCAGTCATAGTCGAGTTCGATTGGAGAGGACACGCGAGAGGACACAAGCCCCTCCGAGGGAGTCATTCGCACAGGAATGTACGTGGCATGGTTGGCGAAACACCGAACACGAGGGTGCCCTCGACTTGGCAGGCTCGACCTACTAAATCAAACTCGACTGTCGTTCCAGGAGCAGGGGTTGCATGCACTGACATGCGTCAACACATCGGCACCAGGATGCCGAGGAGGGACGATGCGGGGGGGGCGGAGGAGAGAGGAGGAAAGATGAGGATGGGAAGGAGGAGGAGGAGGAGGAGGAGGAGGAGGAGAAGGAGGAGGAAGGAGGAGGCGGAGGAGAGGAGGAGGAGGAGGAGGAGGAGGAGGAGGGAGGAGGAGGAGGAGGAATGAGGAGGAGAGGAGGAGAGGAAGGAGGAGGAGGAGGAGGAGGAGGAGGAGGAGGAGGAGGAGGAGGAGGAGGAGGAGGAGGAGGAGGAGGAGGAGGAGGAGGAGGGGGAGGAGGAGGAGGAGGAGGAGGAGGAGGAGGAGGAGGAGGAGGAGAGAGGAGGAGGGGAGGAGGAAGCGGAGGAGGAGGAGGAGGAGGGGAGGAGGAGGAGGAGGAGGAGGAGGAGGAGGAGGAGGGGGGAAGAGGAGGAGGAGGAGGAGGAGGAGGAGGAGGAGGAGGAGGAGGGAGGGGAGAGGAGGAGGAGGAGGAGGAGGAGGAGGAGGAGGAGGGGCGGCAAGCGGCCACGGCGCCGGCTCCGACGACCCAGGCGGCCGCTCCTGCAACGAGGGCATGCCCCAGTCCGCCGGGAGCGTTGGATTCCGCAGGCGCGCCGCAGGGCGGGGGGAGGGAGGGGAGGACGGACGGACCACCTGTGCGAGAGGGATATCCTACTCAGGCGAGCGCGGCTTATGCGGAGGGAGGGGAGGAATGGAGGGGAGGAAGGGCAGAAGGGAGGAGGGAGGGGAGGAAGGGCAGAAGATTCAGGACGGAGGTGTTTCACAATGTTCGGCCTCAGGGGGGCCCTCGCGGGGCCCCGGGACCGTCAAAGAAGGACTCGGGATGGAAAGCCTGTCCTGGGGAAAAGCTCGGGACTTCCGGGTCGGGACTTCTGGGGGCCGCGTACTGAAAAAATCTGAACGACGCATGTCTGGGGAGGTGGCGGTTCCATGAGTGATCCTGGCCGAAGGTGACTCCAGCTTTCCCAGAGATGGGATCAAGGAAATACGACAACAACACTGATGCCACCAGCCCTTGAGGGCGTGAGTGGTCTAGCGAGCTTGCTCGATCTACTAACCTACTTCGTCCCCTTGGGGGAGGTCCCCCCTCCACATCTCCCCTCCCCCTGGGTCTGGAGGTGGCGTTCAGCGAGGGGTTGAGCGTCCAAGATGGCTCAACATGGCGCCAAGAGGGTCCCAGATAGTCCAAGATGGCTCCAAGATCGCTCGTCCGTGCCGGCGTGCTCCGAGCCCCCGATGCTCAAGGATGCTCCTCGATGGTCCTCGATGGTCCTCGCCGAAGGAAAACTGCACACGTCCGAGCGATGCCAAGACAATGCCTTTCCGCCAGCGCAGTCACTCTGCCTAGTCGCCGACGCAAAAAGTGTGTGGAGTGCCAGGTCCTGGGCACATTCCGAGGCAAGGACGGACCACCGCGGGTCGGGCGGGCGGGCCCTAACGGGCGGGTCTGGCGGGCGGACCTCTGTAAAGGGGACCTGGGACACACAAACAAATGGACACAAACAACAGGATTCCCCAAATGCTCCCATATTTTACAGAGGTCCGCCCCTTTACAGGTCCGAGAGGGCTCCGAGTCGTCCGAATATCACTCCCCAACACCCAAGATGGCCTCCAGACGTCCCAAGATGCCGAACGACGCTCCAAGAGGGCTTCAAGAGCCCCCCTCAAAATTCCAAATCCATACGTTTCTCAGAACGGATGTAGCGTTCTCGCCTTTTCACGCTTCCGAGGCCCCCAGACGGCCCAAGAGGCTCTCCAGATCATCCCAAGAGGCACCCCAGAGGGCCCCATGACTGCCAAAGAGTCCCCCAAGGCAGCCCATGACGGCCCCAAGAGGGCCCAGAAGGGTTCGCAGGAGGGGGAACTCAAACTGACATTTCGCGCCCCCTGCCCCACGAAGACAAGTTGGCATGTCCCCAAGACGCTCCCCAAAGCCCCAGGAGGCCATCAAAAGGCCCAAACCAGGCTCCAACACATACCAGGAGGCCCCTGAGGGGCCCCAAGACACCCCCCAAAACCGCCTCCAAGAAGCTTCCGACGCAAGAGACCCCATGGGCATCCAAGACGCCTCCGACCTACAACCCGGGCACGGTGGCGGGTTGGGCCGAAGGCCCCTCGATCCGCCGCCCCCTGTTGATTCATCACAGGAGTGCCTGGCGTGCTTGACCCCACTAGTCTTGTGTTGCTTCCCTTCGTGAGAGAGCTCTCCCCCGGGCCTCCCGCCCGCCTCCCGGAAAAGGTGGCTGCCGTGCCTCCCGCACGGCCAGCTTGCTCGGGACGTCCTGAAAAAATCGCGATCTTGGGGATCCTATCCCAAGACGCCTTATGATAAGACGGAGCGTTTCGCCACGGGCGGCCTCAAGATGACAGCAGACGGCCCAAGAGGCCCCTTAGAGGCCTCCAAAACGGCCCCAAGAGGCCGCCAAGAGGTACTCCAGGAAGGCCCGAAGATGCCAAAATCATTGATTTCCAGTTGGTTTCTGAAGGATTGTGGCATTTGCTTACTTTCGGCCTTCCGACGGCCCGAGAAGGCCCAAGCGCCGAGGAGGCCCCCAAGACGGCACCAACAGAACCCCACGACGGCTCAAGAGGTCTCCAAAACGCCCAAGATGGCCTCCAAGACGGCCCTGGAGCACCCCAAGAGGGCCCTAAGTCGGCCCAGAGAGGCCCCCAAGACGGCGTCAGACTGGCCAGGAGCACACCAAGACGGCCCAAGATGGCTCTAAGATGGAACAAGACGGCCTAAGAGGCCCCTAACAGGTCTCGAAGATGAGCCAAGAGGCCTCCAAGAGGGCCTCCAGGTAGGCCCGAAGAGGCCAATATCATTCCCTACCTAGGCTCTGCCTAGAAGGGTTCTTACTCTCTTAGCTTAAAGGGGCCGGGCAATGGAAAGCGCCCCGGGCGGTTCCCCCGGTCCCCTGGGAGCGGTTCACTCCAGTCCCCTGGGAGCTTTAGCTTTAGCTTTAGCTTAGCTTTAGCTTAGCTTTAGCTTAGCTTTAGCTTAGCTTTAGCTTAGCTGTAGCTTAGCTTTAGCTTAGCGTTCCGCTTAGCTTTTTCGCTTAGCGTTTAGCCTAGCTTTAGCTTAGATTTAGCTTAGCTTTAGCTTAGCTTGAGCTTAGCTGTAGCTTAGAGTTAGCTTAGCTTTAGCCTAGCTTTAGCTTAGCGTTAGCTTAGCTTTAGCTTAGCTCTAGCTTAGCTTTAGCTTAGATTTAGCTTAGCTTTAGCTTAGCTTTAGCTTAGCTTTAGCTTAGCTGTATCTTAGCTTTAGCTTAGCTGTTGCTCAGCTTTAGCTTAGCTTTAGCTTAGCTTTAGCTTAGCTTTAGCTTATATTTAGCTTAGCTGTTGCTCAGCTGTGGCTTAGCTTTAGCTTAGCTTTAGCTTAGCGTTACTGTTACTACTAATGCTGCTTTCCTAGGGGTTCCAACTCCTAGGTAGGGTCGCACTGGGATAATTGATGCTCCATATGTTTTCAAGGATTTGGGCAGTTGCTTCTTTTCGGCCTTCCGACGGCCCGAGACGGCTCGAGAGGCCCCAAAGATCGCCCCACAATCGCCCAAGAGGCCTCCTCCAAGATGCTCCAAGAACGGCCCAGGAGGCCCGTAAGACGGCCCCAGGAGGGCCCCAAGACGGCCCAAGAGGCCTCAAGACGCGCAAGATGGCCTCCAAGACGGCCCTGGAGCACCCCAAAAGGGCCGCAAGTCGGTCCAGAGAGGCCCCCAAGACGGCTTCCGACGGCGTCAGGCGAGCCAGGCCTGCTCTAATCCGGCCAAAGAAGCCCCCGAGAAGCCCCCACAGGCCCCCGATAGGCCCAAGGAGGCCCCCAAGATGCCTCCAAGAGGCTCCCAGGGAGCGCCCAGGAGGCCCCAAGAGTGCCCCCAGAGGCTCCCAAGATGCCCCCTCCTCCTCCTCCTCCTTCTCCTCCTCCTCCTCCTCCTCTTCCTCCTCCTCCTCCTCCTCCTCCTCCTCCTCTCCTCCTCCTCTCCTCCTCCTCCTCCTCCTCCTCCTCCTCCTCCTCCTCCTCCTCCTCTCTCCTCCTCCTCCCCCTCCTCCCCCTCGTCGTCCTCCTCCTCCTCCTCCTCCTGATTTGTCCCGCCATCCTCCCCCAAGTGGTCCCCGAAGGCCTTCCACAACGGGTGGGGGAACACGTGGTCCGATAGCTTAGCAGAGCTCTTGCCACAACGCTCGGCCACATGGGCGACTCCAAAAGGACGGGGGCGTCGGTGATTCGCCGTAGGCGTCCTCGATCCTCCGCCCCCTGTGGTCTTGGGGTGCCTGGCGTGCTAAATTTCTTACGATGTTTGGTTGTGGCTCTTTTCCAACAGAGCTCGTCCCGGGGCGTCGGTTCCTTGCGCGGGCCACCCGAAAGGCCGCACCATCTGCAGAAAAATCGCACGATCACCTTTGAGACAGCCAAGATGGCCCAAAACTGCCTCCAAGATGCCTCCAAGACGGCGCCAAGACGGCCTCCAAGACGGCCAAGAGGGCATCCAAGACGGCTAAGATGGCCACAAGATACCTCCAAGACGGCCGAAGATGGCCTCAAGATGACCCAAGACGGCCCACGAGGCCTCCAAAAAGTCCTCCAGAAAGGCCCGAAGAGGCCAAGATCAGAGACGTCCTGTAGGTGTTTGAAGAATTTGCTTCTTATCGGCCTTCCGACGGCCCAAGACGGCCCAAGAGGCCCCAAAAATCGCCCAAGAAGCCTCCAAGATGGCCCAAGAACGGCCCAAGAGGCACCCGAGATGGCCCCAAGATGGACCCAAGACGGCCCAAGAGGCCTCTACGACGCGCAAGATGGCCTCCAAGACGGCCATGACGGCTCCAAGTCGGTTCAGAGAGGCCCCCAAGACGGCTCCCGACGGCGTCAGGCGGGCCAGGAACGGCCCCAAGACAGCCAAAGAGGCTCCCAAGAAGGCCCTATAGGTCCCTAACAGGCCCAAGGAGGCCCCCAAGACAGAGACCCCCAAGAAGCCTCCAAGACGGCCCAAGAGGCCTCCAAGAGGTCCTCTGGGAAAGACCGATGAGGCCAAATTCGCTGATAACCCTTAGGTTTTTTCAATGATTTTAGCGGTCTCACCTTTTCGGGCTTCCGACGCTCCAAGACGGGGGCCCATGAGCCCCCAGGATCGCTCCAAGACGGCCCCGGAGGCCCCCAAGAGGCCCGCCAGACGGCCCAAGAGGGCCCCAAGACAGCCCAAGAGGCCCCCAAGACGCGCCCAAGACGGCCCCAGAGACGTCCCCAAGAGGTCCCCAAGAGGTCCCAGGAGACCCCCAACATGCCCCCCAAATGCGCTTTAGAGCCCCCCCCGAAGGCGCCCAGAAAGCACCCGAGAGTCTCAAGAGGCCTCGAGAGGCCTCCTCTTCTTCCTCCTCTGCCTTCCCCTCCCTCTCCTCCTCCGCCTCCTCCTGTCTCTTCCTCTCCTTAGTGTTCCCCCAAAGGACTCCATAACCGATGGGGAAACACATCGTCCAATAGCTACCTTGGCCCGCCTTCGGCCCCACGTTTGGCCGCATGGGCGCTTTCAAAAAAGGGAGGGGGCGGCACAGATTCGCCGTAAGCGTCTTCGATCCGCCACCCACTGTTGCTTGCTACAAGGGCTCTCCACTTCGCGCTTCGCGCTGCGCGAAGCGCGAATAACTTCGCGCTCTCTCGCGCCGCCTCCCAGGGGAGAAGAGAAGGATGGGGAGGAATCGGAGCCGAACCGCGGAGCGCGCAGCGCGAGTAACTTCGCGCCCTCGAGGGCGCCCCTGTTGCTACAGGGGTGCACGGCGCTCAGGACTTAAATGCTGTGGCTCTACGGAAACATGTCCAATGGCGTCTCGGCTGATCGCGCCGGCCACCCAGAAGGACCAGAACAGCCGCCCAGAAGGTGAGAGGCAAGGCCCCCGATGCCTCCAAGACGGCCCGGATGGTCCAAGATGGTCTCTCAGATGGCGGCGATGGCCTCCAGAGATGACGAGATCGCCCCCCAAGGTGGCTCCGAGACGGCCAGAGATGCACTCAAGTCGGCCCAAGATGTCCGCCAAGCGTCCCAAGACGGCCCCATGGACCTCCAGGACTGCCCTCGAGCGCCCGAAGCGGGGCCGTCGCTGCCGCCGCCGGCGCGTCCGCCGTCCTCGCCGTCCTCGCCGCCGCCCTCGCCACCGTCCTCGCCGTCCCCGCTGCCGCCGCCCTCGCCGTCGTCGCCGCCGCCGCCGCCCTCGCCGCCGCCGCCGCCCTCGCCGCCGCCGCCGCCGTTGCTCACCGCCGCCACCGCCGTCGCCGCCGTTGCCCACCGCCGTCGTCGCGGGCGCCGCCGCCGCCGCCGCCACCGCTCGGCTCCTCGGACCAGTTCCCCTGGAGGCATCGGGCGGTGTAGGTGTTCTGCGGGCGCGGGCGGGGCAGCGGCGGGGGGGCGGGCGCGAGGGCCTGGGGCTCCCGAGAACTGCCCGCGCCCCCTCCAGGAGGGGAGGGGAGGGGGGGGGGCGAGGCGGGAGGAGGAGGAGGAGGAGGAGGAGGAGGATGAGGAGGAGGGAGGAGGGACCTGTGGCCTGCGGACCTGCCGGACTTGTGGGACCTGCAAGGCCTGCGACACCTCTGGGGGCCTCTGGGGCCTGTAGAGCCGGTCGGACCTGCTGTATCTGTGGTGCCCGTGGGACGACCTGCGAGACCTGTGGGTCCGTTCGGACCAGTGGGACCTATGGGTCCTGCGATACTTGCGGGATCCAGAAAAGTGGCCCGCGCCATTCTGAACGACGGGAGCAAAGCGCCAATCCGAAAGTGAGGCCCACGCTGCAGCGGGAACGCCATTTGGAAATACGGGCAACAATCACACGGCAACAACACATAGGACAACCAACCCGGCCCAACCGTGGTCAACCTTGTGTAAGCCACAATGCGCGGAGAGGGCGGGCCCACGCCCCAGACAAATTCAGGGGAGAGAGGGAGTAGTATTCATATTGATAAGTTGCAAAGAGGAGGGAGGAGAGAGGAGGGTCACTGGAGGATGAAGGAGGAAGAGAAGGAGGAGAAGGAGGAGGAGGGGAGAGGGAGGGGGAGGACAAGGGATGAGAAAGAGGATGAGGATGGGGATGAGGATGGGGATGAGGACGAAGAAGATGATGATGCTGCTGATGATGATAATGATGATGAGGAGTAGAAGGTAAGATAAGATAAGACCGGTCGCGAAGCGAGTTCAATGAATTAGGAGGATCTGGCCGCCTTCTCAGCTCTGCTGAGAACTTTGGGCATGAGACCTCTTGAAAGACGGTCGAGATATTCTCGCCGTGCTTTGGTAAGCGGGGCTCTTGGGGGGGCCATACACTCATCAGCCAAACCTCGGAGCTGCTGCTGGTGGTAGCACCCACAGGCCGCACAATACCAAACGGACAGGGATTCATGATAAGATCGGTGGACCCACCCCCCAGCGAGATGCAAACGCTTCCCCCGAGGAACCCTCATAATCCCCGTAGGCTGAAGCTCAGGCTGAAAGCGCGCTGACTCGAGAAACTCCTTTTTCCCAGCCGCAGTCGTGGATCCCCGACAAACAAGGCACCTTTTTTTTCCACACTCCGAGATACAATGCGCACTGCAAAAGAGGGCCACCGTGGCTGGGGCAGGAGGTGAAACCCTGGGAGGCTTACGGGGCCTTCGGGGAGCCTTCTTTTCCTTCTCACAGGCAATGGATTCGAGCGAAGCTCTGGGCAAACGTTGACGAATGAGGGCGAGATCGTGCTCAGTCTGCAAAATACGGGCACGCTGATCCTGCGGGACCCTCGCACGCAGTGCCGCCTCTCCAGCCAAGTGGTCGACAAAAACATTGCCTGCGATGAGAGGTCCCGCCAACTGGCGAGTGATGACTTCCTCACCTGAAACATGAGATGGGACTTTGATGACGGCGATGTGATACGGCTCCCGTCTTTGTTGCTTGAGCGTCTTTCCCACTTCTCGCCACAGATCTGAGTTCGCGCCTTGTGGAGCGATGTGCAGTCGTTCCCACCCGCCTCGACGCACCTCCTCATTGTCCGTGACGAAGGTCACGAATCCTGCCGACCACCTCACACCCAGGAGGAACGCCAGCAGTTCGCCCCTAGGGACGGTTTGCCTCACTCCTGGCAGTGGTCCAAAACAAAACGCGAATCTGGTCCAGGGAGCTCGCCGACTGCTGATACTGCTAACCCTACCCGGCGAAGTCGAGGATCATGTGTATCACTGCCGCCCGAAGCATCACCATGGATCACAATGGGTGTAGACTCGTCGCCCTCGCCGAAAAAGCTCTGATCCAGGTCGTCGTTGTGACTAACTGTCCAGATCTCCTCTTGCGTGGGCGGGTCCACAGCCGTGAGGTGGGAGGGTATGGGCCCTCGATACCAATAACATTCCATACTGTCACCTTGGGTTAGCGCTTTGTGGCATAACTCCTGGGGCAAATCAAAGGCTGCCGACCCTTGGTTACATCGGCAGCTCCAGAACGATGCTTGGGTGTCTCTGGCCCCTCCTCGCAACGTGGGCACTGCGACGGAACACCATATCCTGCATCTTCCTTCCGAGACGCCGTCCACGCCCCGCCGATCGTGATCGTAAGTAAAAGATGTGCCAACCTGAGTCCGATCTTGGGAACCTGCTCAAGCTGGAACAACTGCTTCCTGAGGCTGAAGTTGTCGACTCCTGCCTCCATGCTGCCTCCACAAAGTAGATACTGCTGCCTGCTGCCACTGCTTCCGTTGAAATGACCTGGTGAATGCATCGAGAAGTTCAGCTGCCTGCTCTTGAGCTTGGAAGTCGGAGTCTGCGAAGTTCCACCCGCCCTGGTGGCCCTCTGCATCTGCGGCCTGATACCACAGCGACGGCTCTGGGATGTCCCAGCCTGCATCGATGAGGTAGTGGACCACCGCCGTGAGGGGGCCCCGAATGTGCCTCGCCCGGTGGCGAGGTTCACACTGCTGGAAGAAGGGGGCTGTGGCGCCCCAGACCTTCGAGATCGGAGCCCGAACCCGCGGCACATCCAACCGTACTCGTAGCCGTTCGGCCAGGCATTGGCGGGGCAAAGCATACCCAGGGTCGGCACCTGGGGCTCGAATGTCTAGCAAGGTGGCAAGGCACCGACCTCGCATATGCCCTCCTGTGACGGCGCCTAGCGGCCGACGCAGGTGGGTCAGCGAAGTCGAAGGAAGTCCATGTACTTGATGCCCGTACCGAGCTCCTGCCTGAGGTCCAGCTAGTTCCACTTTCTGCAGAACTCTGAACCTCTTGGAAGCAAAAGCATACCGACGGACTTTGATGTGCTGCTTGAGAGTCGTGACAAACCTTTTCTGACGTGTAGCTCCCATGTGTTTTTCCACTGGCTAAATCTACACCGATATAAGAGATCTGAGGAGCCGCGATGATTGAAATACCACGAGCTTGCAACCTCTTCTGGATTCTCCGAGCGCCCCTCATGTCAGAGTAAGTTATGGTGCTTTTCTTCGCAAGTCTGAGCGAATACTCGTCCATGAGGTCACTCGTGCAAGTAATGCTTTCCACTAAATCGTTGCAAGCCGAAGCCCTTGACCCCACGGCTGTCTGTGAAAGATCGTCTATCCAGAGTCGCTCCGACAGCCGAGGGTGGCACACTGTGAGGCGTACCATCACCATGTTGGTGACTACTTTGGCGAACCTCGTACCACTCCTGAGTCCTTTAATGATACTTCCCGTACATTGGAACGGGCACGAACCAGCGTCGCCTTGGTCCAAAAGACGAGGACCTGAACAAGTTTGGAGCTCGAGGCCTAACAGAACAGGAGGACAACCGCATTTGAGTGCTCCGTCCACAAGCACCGACCACTCGATTTCATCGTAAAACGAATGTATGTCTAGTAATGCGTGTCCGTGGGAAGCCTTCATCTTGGTGAAAAGCTCCTCGTCGAGAGCCCGAAGGTAAGCCTCGCGCAAGGCTGAGTTGCCTGCGATGGCGGCCTCCCAGTCGGGTTGCCCAGCACTGGCCCATTCTCGAATGAGGGGTTCCCGTGATAAAGACCATATCCTGCCAATCATGCAGATGAGCCCGATCACGCGGTTGCCAGAGCTATTATTGGGCAAGGGACGCCCTAGCACTGGCAGAAGTTGCCAGGGCCATGTCTGGCATTGTTCACACATGGTATAAATGACAGCCAATTCATCGAGCGCCTGCCGTGGTAACCTTTCGAGGTCGATCGGTGATAGCCGATCGACCCCTTGACCAGCCCGAGGTCGCATTCGTCGAACTGCCGCGCGAATATCGTCTGCTGTGAGAGGTGTCAAGGGCTCAGATGCTGCATGCCACCGAATACGTTCGAAGAGCTCTTGAACCCCTGGCACTGTCTGCTTGACGCGGGACGTCCACAAGGTATACCAATGAGCTGCCTTGTGGTCGACTGCGTCCCTAGGCTGGAAAATGACGCCCTGGTCTGAACTGGCCGAAGTTGGAAACTCAACAACTGCGAGAGGGGATTCTTTGGTAGCTCGAAAGGTGGGTCCAGAGTGCTCCTGTTCACCTATCCAATCTTTGAAATCAGCTAAGGAGGCCGAAGCTGCATGACTGCGAGCCCGTTGGGCAACTCGTTTAGCTTCAGCTGCGTATACGTCCAGCTGCTGGTCGGTGACGTCCCTGAGCTCGAGCAAAACTGTGAGCCAGGATGTCCACGTGGTGGCGTCGGGTGATCTGCCTACGGACTCGCATGCGCAGCCTGGCGGCTGCCCTGCAAGCTTGGCCCCTGCCAATGCGAGAGCCTCTGACTGGCTACGTCCGTTCGCCCGTCGTTTGTGCTGAGCCAGCTTGCGCAACACCACCTGCGCACGTTCCCACCAGTTGGCCGAGACGTCCTGCAGCGCCATATCTTTATAATGCTCACTCTGCCGTACCCTGCGTGACTAACGTGGGGCCCTGAGCACGAGTCGGCCTGTCCGACGCCCCTAGGTCATGGCGGCGATGAGGAGGAGAAGGAGCAGGGGGAGTTGGAGGAGACAGAGGGGGAGGAGGAGGAGGAGGCGGAGGAGGGGGAGGAGGAGGAGGAGTAAGAGGAGGAAAAGGGGGAAAAAGGAGGAAGAGGAGAACGGAGGAGGAGGCGAGGGAAGGTGAGACTGGGGGAGGTGACGGGGGGGAGGATGGATTCGGCTGCACTGCGGATGGGCCACAATGTGGCGAGAAACTACGTCCGCCATTGCTGTCATCATCTACACTGCGCCCGCCGCCAACAACCTGACTGTCAGCAACCTGCACGTCCACACTTCCCCTCTCCTCCCGCAAAAAGGCCGCCACAGCCGAAAGGGCGATGCCTTCCGCGGCGCGGACGAAAGAGGCACTGGTTTCAGGATGCGGGCCCTCGAAGCTGTCCGACTGCATGGAGGAGACCGCGTCGCGGCACGCG